TATGGTTTGTGTGAGAGGGGGACTTTAATGAAAAAAAATGGTTTTATTCAGAAAAATTCCAAGTTATGCAATAATGGAGGAAATGTTTTAACTACTAAATGAATTTATAATCACCAGCAATATAAATAGGAAAAACTGTTTGGGCATTTGTACAGATGGAGCTGCTATCATGACAGGGAAATACAGTGCCACTATGAAACACACTAGAGAAGTTGTACTGAATGCTAACACAGTGTACTGCATTGTCCACTGAGAAACTCTGGCAACAAAACAAATGGATGTAGATCAGCATGAAGTTTTTAATAGTGCCATTACAGTAGTAAACTTTGTTAAAGCAAGACACTTGAATTCATGTTTATTTGCTATTTGTGTTCTGAGATGATACTGACCTGCTTCATTCACAAATGTGTTGGTTGTCTCATGGAAAAGTTTTGGAATGTGTTTATAAAACTTAAAAACAAACTGCTGTAGTTTCTGTCAGGAGTGAATTCTGATTTGGCACATTGCTTCAGAAATGGTGTTTGAATGGCCAGATCTTGCAGATATCTTTAATGCAGTGAATGCCCTTAATTTATCTTTATAAGGTAATAATACCAATATTCTATTTTTGCAAGACAAATTAAAAGTTTTCCAGAGGAAACTTCACACTTGTTAAATTCTAATTGAGAATGAAGTAACCTACGTTTCCACTTCTTTCAGAATACTTCAATAGCACTGACAACATGTTTGACAGCATCAAATAAAAAACACTTATCAGTACTTCACCAGAAATGTTCATTTTACTTCCCCAAACTGGAATCTGACTGGATTTGGGGTCCAATTTACAGTAAACTCAGAAAATCAGCATTCTCTGGAGAGCAAAGAAGAGAATGAGTTCATTTAATTGTCGTGCATTAGTTTTCTGAAGATGAGATTTCCTTCCCAGTCATTGGAAACTTTGTTTGGGGATTAAATGTGAGTACCCTGCTTTGTCAGAAAAAGCTTTTTCCATTTTGTACCACCTAGCTGTGTGAAAAACAGGTTTTCCATGCTGACAGCAATTAAAACCAAACAATACAACAGATTTCTTGTTGAAAATTATTTTAGACTTTGCCTCTCCAAACTTGCTCCAAGAATTGAAAGGTTTTGCTAAGCCGCTCCAGGTCATCATCTTCTGAATTATGTTCAGTGCTAGCAGTATGAAGCACATAATTTGGCAGAGTCTTTTCATATGTGTTTTTAATTCGTGGCTGATTTTGGTTTCACTGCACCTACTATTTCACTGTTGTATGTTGGAGACAGTAATGTTTTTGTGAAGTTAATACAAAATCAATATTGCTGTTGCAGTTACAGTTCGTGGGTCCAAATACAGTTGGTGGGTCACCTTAATAAAAAAGTTTGGGAACCGCTGAGAGAACAGATGCTCCTTTCGCTCAAGTGATTTAGTTTCATGTTTTTAGCACTTAAGGTCCCGGTTTCAAACCCCACTACACTGACAATTCCCCACTGTTAGGTAGGAAGGTCTCTGTACAGGCCCATAATTTCCTGCATGCCATTTAGAGGTTGAAGTGGGGTACCTTGAATGTAGGCCCAGACAGTCCACAATACATTTGGCATGGATATAAAACTGATGTTTGAGACTGTATATTTTTAAAATAGGGTAGAAAATATAACCTGATTTTAATGACATATTACAACTATATTTAACTAAGTTACAGTGAAGAATATGTCACTGAAATAGTAATTGGACAAGGCACACAATTAGTAATAAATTGGACATATTGCTTTGGAAATTCTCTAGAGAAAGAAAAGGCTCTGGCACCCAAACCTTAAGGCATACAAAGATTGGAGAACAGGCCAGCCTCCTCTTCTCTCCCTGGGAAAAAATCAACTGCAAAATGATAAATATAAGTGAGCACAAAGTGCAGTAGGTTTTGTTGGAATGCATGAATGTGTTGTGCCACTCAATACTGGTTGAGATAAAACAAAGACGTATTTAGTGCAGTGAAAAGATATTTGCACTGTAGACAATTCATGGTGCTGAAAAGAAAAATAGCTCAGTTACCCACAGTCTGGAGTGGAATAAGGTAGATGTTGAATGACAAATAAAATGGGGAGGTTCCTGCTGAGTTGAACAGGTTGACATGTGACAGCCAGGACCGGCTCTAGGCACCAGCAAAGCAAGCACGTGCTTGGGGTGGCACGTTTCCAGGGGCGGCATTCCAGCCATGCTTTTTTTTCGGAAAAATCCACCAATGTACGGAAAAAAAATAATACATGAAGATCAAGCAAATTTCCAGCAGTGTGATAGGAGCGTGACGTGAAAACTATCGTGTCACATCATGACACGGTCACTCATAATGTGAACATGCGTAAATGTGTAAACTTTAACGGTTATTGATTAATTAAATCAGGAATCATGATTACTTGTGTGTACTGTGCCACCCTATTGGCGCCATTCACGCCAATTTCTGTGTCACATCAGTGCCAGTGGTTATAGGGCTAAAATGCTAGGACAAAAACGAAAATGACTTTCTGGTGCTGCTTTCCGGCAACAAATAGAGAAACGTCAAAAAGAATTAGAAAAACTATCTCGTACTTCAAATAAGTATTTTTAAAAAGTCAACCATCAAGGAGAAAGCGCTAAGCAATTCATTGAAAGTGATTATTCATCAACTGATGAAGACCAATCGAACCAAAGATTATCTTTATCAACTGATAAAGATGAACAACAATCCGACCAAAGATTATCTTCGCTATCTGATAAAGACAAACAATCACAATCCATCCAAAGATTTACTTCTTCAGCTGAAAAAGTCCAGAAACGAAGAACTGTTATCCAAATCTAAAACTGAAGAACAATTAATGGAAGGTGGAGAGACTGACACTGGATCGGATCCAAGTATGTGGCCAACAATAATTACTGATACAATGCTAATGATTATTGTGAAAAAAGGTCCTTCAAAACTAGATCCTACATTTGAATATCCATTTAATGAGTTGACTCGTCAATTTATGCCATCCAGTATGAAGAAAAAAATGAAAAATAGGGAACAAATTAATAGATCGTGGTTAGTGTATTCATAGACCAAAGATGTAGTTTTTTCGTTTTTGCTGCAAACTATTCTGTAACTCGGACATTCTTCTGGCAACTGCACGTTTTAGTGACTGGTGAAATTTGCATCAGCATTTGAAAGAACATGAAACATCAAAAAATCATTTACGCTCGTTGACAAATTGGATTGAGCTGTCAAACAGATTATGTTCCGGTACAACAATCGATGTGGTAGAGCAACGTATACTGATTCAGAAATTCTACATTGGCAAGCTGTGTTGGAACGTTTACTGGCAATCATTAATTTCGTAGCCGAACAGTGCCTCGCATTCCGTGGATCCTCGGATATTTTATATGAGAATAACAATGGAAATTTTTTGAAATTGGTTGAGTTATTGGCAAAATTGGATAGTGTTATGGCTGAGCATATACGAAGAGTGAAAGATGGAGAGATTCACTCCCATTATTTGGGTAAAAATACACAAAATGAGATAATACAATTAATTTCTAATAGAGTGCGTAATGAAATTTTATCGGATTTGAAACATGCCAAATATTACTCAGTTATAGTTCTTTTAATTTTTTAGAAACTGGGCGCACCAGAAGACACTAACGTTTTTCATTACAGTGTATAATTGAACCCAAATTGTTTGTAATTGTGATTTTGTTAAAATTAAATGAGTACACTAGTAGGAAATTGTTTTATTTCACTAACTACAAATTCACTGTTTTCATTTTTTTTTATTTTAAACAGTCAAAAAAAAAAGCCATTGCAAAGTGCAAACATGTAAAAGCAAAAAAAAAAAAAGCGGGGTGGCAGCCAAAATTGTTTTGCTTGGGGCAGCAAAAAACCTAGAGCTGGACCTGGTGACAGCTAGGGTATATTTTTAATCATTTCTCTTTATTCAAGTAGGACTAGGTCTGAAATTGAAGAACACATCTTAGTGAACGGGTCAAGTCCCCATATTTATCTGAAAATTGAAAAAACCTTTTTCTAGAGTAAACACTATGAAAACCTACATTAGTAGTGCCTGGTTCAAATCCAGCTCTTCTGGGAAGTAATTGTTACCAGAATCAATCCTGTTTATTAGCAGTATATCACACCAGCATTTGAATCCACCAACTGGGGTGATAAGAAAAGCATAGATTATGACCTCCATAAAATATGTATTTTTTTCACCTGGATGAGCTCTATGCTTCAGAATAAAATTCTTAGAAAAGGGAAATCCAGATTTGAGAAGGCATCTTTTATCAGACTAAGTTAAGCTGATACAAGAGTCGCAGAAGTATTATTGCTGAACAGTTAATTGAACCAATGTAGTCCCTTTTCTGTGAATTGTCTGCAAACACAATTTGAATTATTAGTAATCATTCAACAAACACTTTATGCTAGTATATTTAAGCATATATAGTACTTGTGAGCTATTTACTGTGACTGTCTCTGACAAGTCACAATTTGTTGTTCACAGTGTGTGGTTGGTTACTTAAGCTACATGTTGTTGCCATTTCTTCTCTGTAAATGGATGATTGAAGTTTCATAAACAGAGATCAGGGGGAATATTGAATGCCTATATTTGTGCTCAGTGTACCTTTGTTTACATGCAGATAGGGGTGTTCACATCAAGCACTCCCCAACACTAATGCATATTCAAACCTTTTCGCTCAAGTGTTCATGGAAAAACAACAAAAAGAGGCCACATTGAACAGCAATTCAGAATTCAAGTTAATTTCTCCCCTCTATTTTTTATAGCATGATCAGTTTTTATTAACGTGCACAGTATGAACAATTTTGGCAGCCAGTTGCTGAGCTGCTGGGTAGTATACAATGTGTGGACTAACACAGAAGTGTATGCACAGAGCTCATTATGTTCACAGTCAAGATTAAAGAGTTCAGTTTCTTCTCAGTCTGAGCTCGTAGAGTTTGGGTTTCGCCTAATTCAGTAATTCGTCCAATTTTGTTTTCCAGAATGACAAATCACCAGGGCGCTCTACAAGTCGATCAAGTAACATTTCAAAGGTAAGTGGAATATGTTAAGTTATTTACTTTTATATAGGATTCCAAGTCACAGCAATTTATTAAATGTAATGTAGTATTTTATTCCACTACCCAGATATCCATATTCTGATGTTTCCTTTGTATTCACCAGTTTGTAGTTTTAGGCTGCCATGCTTTCATTGCAATGTAAAACCTGTTAAAATACATAACAATCTTTTTTTTTTCCCACTCAGTATAATACCTTTGGGAAATATGCTGTCATCTTTGGTCTAAGGCAGAATTATTTCTTGCTCAGTTCTAGAATGATGGCACCAAAGTTTACAATATGTTGCAGTTATGATTGTATCAGCATTTGCTATATGAGTCCCATCTACAGGGATTTGCAACTTGCCAGAAATGTGCCAGTGGTGGAATCTCAGATCCCTTTCAGTTTCTTGGGGGCAGTAAGAGAGTGTCTGTTTCAGACTTGGATCCATGGATTTTAACCAACTCTTACGGTTTTGGTTCAAACGTGGCTGAAATCTCAAGTCCAAAATGACAGAAAACAGAGCTAAAGACTGAAATCTCACAAGAGCAGTTCCAAAGGTTTTGGCACCATAAAAGCCAAATCCAAACACTAGCCATAATCTAATTTCAAACCCTATCCTATACCTGATTCAGAGGAACACAGTCTTCAGTCCTTCTCTAACAAAAATGTACAGTGCGCTGGACCCTTCAATAAAAGGTTTTATCCCCATGGCAACATTTGATTTGAAAATGCTTACGCTAGTAATTTTTAAGTTACATGATGGCAGTTCCAAGAAATGCAGGTTAAACAGTTTTTCTGCTCTTGTATAACAAAACTATGGCTTTGATAAAACCACAGTAGTGTATAGTATGATCTCGTCTCTTGTTTCTTTCAGGACTTTTTGTAATGACTCTATTATGTCAAATTCCTTTTTTAGTGAGTTTAATTATAGATTTATAGGAAAAAAATAAAGGAAGTAGTATGTTACTTTCCAGTGTATAATGATCAATATCTGTACTGACCCAGTGGGAGCCCTAACAGTGTGTTGGGTAAACGTTATACAATATCAGAATTAGTATAGTGCCAGTAGCAAAATGCATATTTACCTGATTGTGTCCTATCCTAGAATTGTCTATTAAGTATTGGATCTACATTTGATATAATTTATTCCGATATAAAGCTAAGGGAACTCAACTGATGTAATCATATTTCTTCTTGATTTACATTGATGTAACTGAGATCAAAATCTGGATCTACCCTTTAAAGTATTAATAAATACGCCATCACTCTGTCCAAACTACGTATGTAGGTATCTGCTCAAAAGGCAGCATAATGTTTTGTATCTCTTCTCATCTGCTTCTGTGGCACCTTTTTGTTATGTTTTAAGATCTCCGATAACACAGAAAATTACAGATGAAAACCATTGGTTTAATAACTTGAATGTTATCAGATACCAACCAACAAAAGCCAGGAAATTCAAAATTGAGCCTCAAACTCTAAGTCTTAACTTAGTCTGTCATGCCTTTAACTCATACCATTGGCTAAAAGAAAAGGACCAGTGTTGAATTGTAGAAGGGGTTCTTAGAGGCTTAATTAATGCTTGTAAAATGCTTTGAGATCCTCAGATGAAAGGGGCTATAAAAGTGAAAAGTATTAGTTTTATTATTAATAATAATAACAAGAGCGAGCCCGGGTACCTCTCATAATAGGAGACTGAATTAAATAACAGACACTATTAGTTCTGGCAGTGAAATTACAATTATGTATGTGTTGGTCCTAAGTCTGAATTCCTCACTTTTTAATTTTTGACAAATTCTAAATATTATGTAAACGTAGTGTTATGTGTGTGAATATTAATAGTGTCATTATAGATGGGCCCCAACTGATACCTCAGATGCAAATACTTTTGAACTTTTGGGAAAGTTTGGAGTCAAACTTCACTCTACTACATGCTGAACTGAACTCAAAACCCTAATACTCCCAGACTTCGGGAGGATCCAGAGATTGTGGCTCCGTGCCTCCTTAATTTTGAACCTGTTTAGTTATAATAACTAAATCTATTACAGTTTGCAACACATAGTTGTCTATTTTTCTATCAATGTCAAAGTACATGAGTTACTTTTAAATTATGACAAAGCCACAGCATCAGCAGTTCATAAATAATCTGTAAGGGATTGTAGAAATATATTCAGTGTGTGTCAAGGCAGAACATATCAGCTACTAACATTTCTCTTAAAGTGACCTCTGTGGAGACCAGTTTTTCTGGATGATGATCTTTAAATATGATGTGCACAGCTTACCAATGCAACATTATCCAGACTTGCCCTTTCTTAGGCTGTCTCCTGCTCATCTGTAGCATGATGTCATTCCATTTGACCAGCTACATTATATATTCCACTAATAGGGAATATGATGGAGTATACTTGACAGGGGATGCAATGTTTCCAATTAATTTTCTGCTCCTGAAAACATTTTTTAAAAAGAAAATACATGGCTTTAGAGTGTGGTACAAAACCTAATCTAATTGAAATGATTTCCAAAACAGCACAGTTGTACAGCATATTTTTTTCCTCGAGCAACATTAAAAAACCAAGACTATTTTCATTAAACGTGATCCTGCACCAATCAAAGTCAATTGCAAAGTTCCCATTGACTTCAGTGGTGCAGGACCATACTTTAAGTGAGCTGAACCTCTGACTCTCCATCATAGAGGTAGTATATTCAGTTGAATTAAAGGCAACATCTTGGTAGTACAATAGTTTCATTTTATTGATTATGTATTTGGCAAAATATGTACATGTTCCGCTCATTTTGGATTATATGCTCTAAAAATAGCTGTGTGGACACATTGCAGCTTGGGCTGCCACTTGGGCTCTGGTTTGGGTGGTGGGGTTTGGGCTTCAGTGTCTGAGCTCCAGCCCAAGCCATAACGTCTAAGCACCATCTTACACAGCTGTTTTTAGAGTGCTACCATGAGCCTGCTAGCCTGTAGACCCAGGCTTGGAGGCTTGCTCCCAGATGCAGTACAGATATACACCCGGAGGCCTGTAACTATGTGGAACATGTGTAATTGGTTTAGCTCATCGTGTACTTAACAGTAACAATTCCATATTTTTTTTAATTCACCAAATTCTAATTGAAAAGAGTATGGGAGAGAAGCAGAGAGAGTTACGGGAATTTGAAATATATATATTTCCTGTTAAAATATTTTCTGCTTATAATCCAAAATGAGCTGAGTATGTAAATATTTTGCTTATTTTATATATGAATCCCCAGTAAGAATTTGCTCACTGAAGTATTTTAACCAAGCTATAGGGAAAAGTTATATTCATTAGAAGTTGATTTTTGTACTTGTGATAATCCATGGCTTATACATAAATTAAAACAATAGAGGTGTCAATTTATGAGTGGTTGATAATAAAATAGTTATTGGGAGTAGCGTCAATAAATGTAATGTGCACTTGACTCTAAAGGTTTCCTTAGAAAATGATGTAGGTTTATTGCTGGTGAAAGGTGCCAATTTATAGACCTAGTGAATGAAGTAATTTATCTAGAGGGCAGCAGCAGGGCAAACTTCACACAAATGCTTGCCCAACAACGTGCTCAGTGCTGTACTAGGTGTGACTTTTGCTAAGGGCCAGAAATAGAAGTGGACCCTGAGGCTTGTTGAGTGCAAGAGGGGACAGAGGTAGTCTCACCCACTGTTCCCACTTTCCATTAGAGCCTGACACCTTTTAAGACTTTACATCAGGGATGGGCAAACTTTTTGGCCTGAGGGCCACATCGGTGTGCAAAACTATATGGAGGGCCAGGTAGGGAAAGCTGTGCCTCCCCAAATAGCTTGGCCTCCACCCCCTATCTGCCCCCTCCCACTTCCCACCCCCTGACTGCCCCCCTCAGAAGCCACACCCATCCAACTCCCTCTGTTCCTTGTCCCTTGACCACCCCCTCCCGGAACCCTGCCTCTAACTGTCCCCTGGGACACCACACTCTGTCCAACCGCCCCCCGTTCCCCGTCCCCTGACCACCCCCCCCACTTGAACCTCTGCCCCATCCAACCGCCCCCTGCTACCTGTCCCCGACTGCCCCCCAGGATCCCCTGCCCCTTATCCAGCCCCCCAGCCCTGGTCCCCTTACCATGCTGCTCAGAGCAGCGTGTCTGGAGCTGTGATGCCCGGCTGGAGCCAGACACGCTGCCACACTGCCCTGCATGAGCGTGCAGCTCTGCCGCCCAGAGCACTGACTGCTTGGCTGCGGTGAGGGGAACAGCAGGGGTGGGGCCGGGGCGAGCCTCCCCGGCCAGGAGCTCCGGGGCCAGGCAGGACAGTCCCGTGGGCCATAGTTTGCCCACCTCTTCTCTACATCCTTCCACTCAGTTCTCCACTCCAGCTCCACCTTGATCCTGTGGCCTCCGCCTCCATACTAGCTGCTGCTGCTGCTGCATCACCTCCACCATTTCCCCACCCTGGAGCTCTGTGCTAATCTGGCATTCACAGAAGGATAGTTAATGAGGAATGCCTGAAATGCAGGCACCACAGTAGTCTGTGGTGGCCAAAAACGGAGTTACTACGGCTCCTGCATGAGCCCAGCCAGATGTGTGAGGTTCCAGCTGGCTGAGGGGATGCATAAAGGGCTACCAAATGCCTGAGTGTCCTGCACAATGAGTGACATTTAGCAGCTCTGAAATGGTTCAATTTAATAAGTGTTACATGGGAAGTAAGGAGATTTATTTTGTTTAATGAAAGGATACCAAATAGCAAAATGCTGTTCACTTTCCTCCTTTGCTCATATTAGTAAGTTTTCCATGTCATGAATATCCCACAATCGGAAATGGGGAACAAAAGCCCACTGTGTGCATGAAATGAAGGGCCAGATCCTCAGCCAGTATAAACTGAGATTCAATAAAGTTCACTCCACTGAGTTCAATAAAGCTACAGCTACACTGATTTATACCTGCTGTAGATCTGCCCAAACTGTTTAACTTTCTGCTTCTTTATAACTTCAGTGAGAGGTC